TGAGAGTGGAAAACAGCTGTGTGCTAGATAAGATTTGCAGCAGGGGGCTGGCACTGTGGCATAGCAGGTAAAGCTGCAGCTTGCAGTGCTGGCATCCCACATGGGCACCGGTCGATACCCGGCTGCTCCACTTCTAATCCAGCTCTCTGCTATGGCTTGGGAAAGCAGTGGAAGATGGCTCAAATTCTTGGGCCCCTGAACCCCCATGGGAAGACCTGGAGGAAGCTCCTGGCTCCTGGTTTCAGATGGGTGCAGCTCCAGCCGTTACAGCCAACTGGCGCGTGAACCATTGGATGGAAGATCTTTCTCTCTGCCTCTCCTTCTCTCTCTGGGTAACTCTTTCAAATAAATAAATAAATCTTATAAAAAAGATTTGTAGCAACACTTGAATATTATATGTAAAACTTTCCATAAAACTAGCACCTATTGTAGTGTGGCATTTCAGTATTGATTATGGAGTTCTTTAATCGTGCAGGATGAAAGACTGGCATCTCTCCTGTTGAGTCGATGGTTTCTTGTTCACAGGAGGCAGATATTTGGAAACACACTGAGAAAGGAAAATCTCAGCTGGTAGGATTGGGATTCAAATTATAATAACATCTGAATTTAGAAGATAAAAATGTGATTTTGAATTCTTTCATGAGCCATGCTGGAACAATGTTACTGTTCCTCTGCTGTGGTTTAAGTTTGCCATGCAGACTTTTCTAAGTGTTTTCTCTTCAAGGTAAATTACTAGTCCATAGCTAAGCATAGGGTAACTCTGCCCTATTTCTTCAGTTTTCCTACCTTTGCTCTCTAGTATGGTTACTGCTCCTGATCAATTTCCTGTTTGGAACCAAGTTTTAGAAATTCTTAAATGATGTACATTGGCTGGCTCTGCAGTGGAGATCCAGCAGTAAGCTGTAACACTCCTCTGACAATATCGATTCTTTCTCAGGAAGGTATTTCCTAACCTCCTCTCTCCCCTATGATTCTCTGGATATCCAGCCTGGAAAGAGTGACAATTGTAGACCCAGGTACAGAAGAGCGATACCTCTGTGTCGGCATTGTGGTGTAGTAGGTTAAGCCTCTGCCTGAGCGTTGGTATCCCATTTGGACACCAGTTTGCATCCTGGCTGCTCTACTTCCAATACAGCTCCCTGCTAATGAACTGGAAAAGGCAGGGGAAGATGGTCCAAGTCCTTGGTCCCGTGAACCCACATGGGAGACCCAGAAGTTCCTGGCTCCTGGCTTTGGATCAGGCCAGTTCTCACCATTGTGGCAATTTGAGCCAGTGAATTGAAAACCTCTCTCTTTATCTTTACCTCTCCTGTCTATAACTCTGCCTCTCAAATAAAGAACATAAATCTCTAAAAAAAAAAAAAAAAGTGATACCTCAGCTGCTTACCCAAAGACTACTGGGAAATCAAAGAGGATACTTTAACATGTGAAATATGAATTATGGAGAGAAAAAAGGTGATGGTACTCTCTGAGCTGCCAACTTTTTAGTGGGCATTGAGTTGTCTCACTTCTAAAAGTCTTGAACAAAGTCCCTCATCAACAGGCCGAGAGCATTTGGGAGGCATCCAACTCCCACAGTACATGTGTCTTTTCTAGAGTAGATCCTGCTTGAACCTGTCTGGAGTTTGTCGCTCCCCCTCTTCATGGAGGAACGACACTAAATCCTGCCTAGGCTTCATATCCGAGTCACGGCACCATTATGTCGCTCCCCGTCTTCGTGGGGGAACGACACAGGACCCTGCGCTGTTCTTTTGTCTGCTCGGCCCTTCCCGGGTTTGCTGCTGGTTCTTCCCGGGTTGGCTGCCGACCCTTCCACCTCCGTGGAAGGGCGGTTCCCCCTGCCACATTCCCCACTTCTGCGGGGGAGCGGCACACCGCCGGCCAGCTCTCTCGGGGGCTGCACAGGTGTTCCCCTTAGATGTTCCTGGTGCATGCCGTCTCTCTCCTCCTTTATAGTCCTCCTCCACCAATCCCAACTCGGCTGCCCACACGCCGAGTACACTGCTCTCCTCCAATCAGGAGCAGGTCCTACAGTTTATTGGTTGAACTGGAGGCAGCTGTGTAGAAGCTGTTTTCTCCTCTCCCAGCGCCATATTGTGGGAGAGCAGATGCATAGAATAAGTCTTAATTCCAGTAACTTAGTCTAGTCCGGGTTGCTCCCCACAGAGTTAACAAAGTTAATTTTCCAGCCATCCTTAGACAATTCACAGAGACAACACAAGTGGAGGAGACATGTTTCTTTCCTTTAGCAAGCCATAAATTCTGCTTAGCTTTTTGATGTTTTAACTAAACATGGATCTCAAAAGATGTTATTTTTATATCTCAGCTTTACCGCTCAAAGCTTTCTGATGACTACATTTAAAATGTGTAAATATGTGCAAGAAAACTGACTGAAAAACAATGACTTGATCAGCCCTTGTCCTGACTGTTGATGTACAATTTAATACTTTATCCCTTTTAGTATTTTTTGTTCTACTTAATATTATTGGTTGAACTCTGTAATTAACACACAATTATTCTTAGGTGTTTAAATTTAACTGAAAAGTGATCCCTGTTAAATATGAGTGGGAATAAGAGAGGGAGGAGATGTACAATTTGGGACAGGCTCAATCGGAATTGCCCCAAATGGTGGAGTTAGAAACGTGCCAAGGGAATTCCAATACAATCCCATCAAGGTAGCATGTACCAATGCCATATCACTAGTCCAAATGATCAGTTTCAGTTCACAATTGATCACACTGATAGGTCTAAGAGTCAAAGGGATCACACAAACAAGACTAGTGTCTGCGAATACTAACTGATAGAATCAAAAAGGGAGAGAACAATCCAACATGGGAAGCAGGATACATAGCAGACTCCTAGAATGGCAGATGTCCTGAATAGCACTCTGGCCTCAGAATCAGCCCTTAAGGCAGTCGGATCTGGCTGAAGAGCCCATGAGAGTATTTCAGGCATGGAAAGCCAAGACACTCTGGCCAAAAAAAAAAAAGAGGACCTAAATGAAAGATCTCTGTGAGTGAGATCACAGTGGAAAGAATGGGCCATCTAAGAAGGAGGTACCTTTCTCTGAAGGGAGGAAAGAATTTCCACTTTGACTATGACCCTGTCAGAATAAGATCGAAGTTGGCAAACTCAAAAGGCTTCCATAGCCTTGGCAACTCATGACTAGAGCCTAGGGAGATTACTGACGCCATAAACAAGAGTGTCAATTTGTTAAGTCAACAACAGGAGTCACTGTGTACTTACTTCTCATGTAGGATCTCTGTCTTTAATGTGTTGTTCAATGTGAATTAATGCTGTAACTAGTACAGAAACAGTATTTTACACTTTATGTTCTGTGTGGGTGCAAACTGTTGAAATGTTTACTTAATATATACTAAATCGATCTTCTTTATATAAAGATAATTGAAAATGAATCTTGATGTGAATGGAATGGGAGAGGGAATGGGAGATGGGAGGGGTGCGGGTGGGAGGGAAGTTATAGGGGGGAAAAAGCCATTGTAATCTATAAACTGTACTTTGGAAATTTATATTTACTAAATAAAAGTTTTTTAAAAAAGAAGACATGAAATCCATTGTAACAGGTACTATATTAATACAAAGGGCTATTGTAGTCATCTTTTTATATTAAAAACTACTTGAAAGGCAGAGAGAGAGAGAAAGAGAGAGATAGAGACAGGGATCTCCCATCCACTGGTTCACTCCCCAAATGCCTGCAATAGCTGGAAACAGTCCAGACCAAAGTAAGGAACCAGGAACTCAATACAGGTCCCCCACATGAGTGACAGTGATCCAATGACTAGAGCCATCACCTGCTATGTCCTAGGTTTCAAATTAGCAGGAAGCTGGAATCAAGATTGAAGCAGGGACTCAAATCTTGGTACTTCTATATGGGATGCAGGTTATCCCAAGTGGTGTCTGAACTTATATATCAAATGCCCACCTTGGAAAGGGAGGGGGGTGCCATATTCTTTATCCTGTCTTGAAATCTACATTCTTTGCAATGGGTGCCAACTTTCTCCCTGTGTTCACCTTGCAAACTGAATGAAGTTTTTCTGTATTTGCTTCTCACCTGTTTGGTCAGAACATCATTTGAGTCTACAATGTACTTGAGGCACAGGGTATGCTGGCTCTGGCTATGAGGTCCAAACTTTCAACACAGATGAACACATCAGCGTCTTTTGGATGGTCTAGGTGGCTTTGTAGTGCAGTGGTTAAGAAAATGGGTTAGTAGGGGCCAGCATTGTGGCATAGTGGGTTAAGCTGTCACCTGTAATGCCAGAATTCCATATGGTAACCAGTTTGAGTACCAGTTGATCCAATTATGATCCAGCTCTCTACTCAGGCACTGGAAGATGGCCAAAGGCCCTAGGCCGCTGCATCCACATGGTAGAGCTGGATGAAGCTCCCGTCTTTGGCTCTTGTGGCCATTTGGGGAATGAACCTGTGGATGGAAGTTCTCTCTCTCTCTCTCTCTCTCTCTATATATATATATATATATATATATATTTTAAAGATTTATTTATTTATTTGAAAGTCAGAGTTACACAGAGAGAGGATTGGCAGAGAGAGAGAGAGAGAGAGAGGTCCTCCATCTGATGGTTCATTCCCCGATTGGCCACAACACAGAACTGTGCGGATCCGAAGCCAGGAGCCAGGAGCCCCTCCTGGTCTCCCATATGGGTGCAGGGTCTCAGGACTTGGGCCATCTTCCACTACTCTCCAAGGCCACTTCAGAGAGCTGGATTGGAAATGGAGCAGCTGGGTCTTGAACTGGCACCCACATGGGATACTGAAGCTTCAGGCCAGGGTGTTAACCCACTGTGCCACAGCACCAGCCCCCTCTTTCTCTCTTTGTCTCTTCCTCTCTTTCTCTAACTCTGCTTTTCAAATAAAATAAATAAATCTTAAAAAAAGGAAAATGGGCTGTTGAATGCATACATACAGAGAACACATACATAGAATACAGACATGGCTGCATTCTAATTCTCATTCTACTACTTATTATGTGTATGGCATAGCACAAGACATTTCATCCTTCTAAGTTCCTGTATACTCATCTGTGAAACAAAAGCAGGTAAGAAAAATGAAGAAAGAAATGTATATAAAGCACTGGCATGGATTATGGGCCTCAACAAATGACAGCTAATTTTACATAATTTGGAATGGTAAAAGTTCCCATCACTGGGAAAATGTGGAGGATTTAACCAAAGGTAGAGAAGCCTTTGACAACCACTATAGTAATACCTTATTGAACACTCAGTATGTTAAACATAGTACTAAAGACTTTATTGAATTATTACATCTTTACAGCAGTTATGACATAGGTATTCACTTCATTTTCTAGGTGAACAAAAAAAGAGATCCAGAGGAGTTACTATTTTTAGAGTGGTAAGTAGGAGTCCTCCTCCAAGTTAGTTGCTCCTATTTCTCTCTGTTTATTTTGCTTGCATTCATGGTTACAACCTGAAAGGATCTTGTTTTACTTACTTACCTACTTATTGTCTATCCTCGCGAGAATAACCACTCCTTGAGGAGCCTTACTCTACTCTATCTGCAAGAAGCTGTGTGAGGATCTGCCATCTAGTCAATGAAATAAATATTCAGAAAATGAATGAACACACGATGGAATGAAGAAACAAATTGACTATTCTAAGATGTACAGCTTTGACAGAATTCTGTGTGGCCATTTTATATTTCTGGTCTAGTCCCAAATATTATTTTGTGTCTCGTTTCTTTTCTGGTGTGTGAGATTTCAATGGTTAGGAATAACTTATTGCATATTAGTATCTTTATTTCCTGAAACAGAGTCTGGCATCAAAAAATACTGTAAGTTAAAAGTTAAAAATGAAAATCAGTGTGTAAATATTCTTTCTCCAAAAGAGATATGATAGATCAAATTATGGTGAATAAAATATTCTGGAGAACAGTTTGCTATTCTGCAAAATTGAAGAATTGGTGACTGTATTGGTAGGAAGAATGTAGGGAAATTAAAGACCTAAGGGCATACTAACTCAATATGATTTATGCTGAGTTCACTTCCCATTAGTGGGTGTTGACTGACACTATGTTAATATACACCAAAGTAGAATGGGATTTGCCTCCAAATGACAGGCACTGTTCTGTCTTATCTGCCTGCTGTCACAGTCAATCATTTGGGACTTCTCTGTCACTTATAAAGTTATAGAAAGCTATTTTTCCTGATATCACTCTGCATCTAAATACAAATTTGTATTCTTAGGGTTCATCAGAATCAACATTCTGCAATGTAATGGACAGAGCATTTGCTCTGGGGGATATAAAGTAAAGATAAAAGCCTGGGATCCATTAGCTGCTAACTTGGGCTGCTCGTGGTAAGCTTGGATTTTCTAGTTCTAAGATTTTGTGCAATCTAAACATTTTTATTTAGCATGATTTTATTACGTATTTAGTGAACACCTGTCATGCACTAGTAGCTGTACTAAGTATCTAATATTTTCACAAACAAATTCTTAATTAGGAAGAGTCCAGGAGTCATCAAGCTTTTACTGTAAAAGAGCCAGATGGTATATATTTTAACCTTTGTGCACCTTACAGTTTCCGTTGCAACTACTCAAAAGTCTTTCATTATAGGGAAGAATCTGCCATAGGCAATGCATAAATGGATGTGTATAGCCTTTTAAGATTGATTTAAACTCAATTTAGAAAAATAAGCAGGAGGTCAGAATTCGGTCCATAATTAGTTTGCTAACCACAGAAGAGTTGAATATTTTTAATAAAACAAATGACGTACAACCTATTTCAAACCACTATTATGATTTAGGCTTAAAATGTCAATTCTGTCACATAATTATCAAAGCCTATGAGAAATAAAGATTAAATAATCCTGGCTCTTATCTTGTGGACTAAAGTTTTTATTCAAAATTTGATTTATCTTATATCAGATTCATGGTTAGCTTTTTCTCTCTAGCAACAAAAAAAAATTCATGAAATCATTTCACTGTATTTTAATCACCCTGAGACCCACTTTTCCAGAAGATGAGAACTATTAAGAATTATTAGATTGGAAGACATATAGAAACCATGTCAAGAGGCACTTGAAGAAGGCATATTTACAGATTGGTGGTAGCTGGCTGTCTTGGTCCCAAATAAACCAGTCCCTGGGTTTGTCACTCAGACTTTCCTAATACTGCAATACAAAAGACTCTCTTCTTCTATGGCAGCCAGGCTGGGCTAGTAGCCTGTCTCCAGCACTTGACAGTTGTTACCATTTGGACCCATTACTATTTCTGATTCTTAGCTTTCTCTTTAGTAAAATGGAAGCAGTAACTTGACCTATCTTGCATGGTTGCCGTATAGATAAATGTAAGAATGTTAAGTTCTTCCTGCCAGTTCTCAAAACATAGTCAATTCTTGAAAAGTTAAAGCTATTTTTGAAACCTATTAGTAGTAAATATTCAGTTCTTATTGTGAATCAAGCTGTGTTCTAAGTGCTTCACTTACGTACTATCATATTTAGACAAGATCATTATGCACAAGGTACTATTATTATCTCCATTTCACACTTGAAGAAATTCATACACCACATACTAAGGGTAAAATGAAGATTTGAACTGGGTAGAAGAGTCTTCTCTGATTTGTCTCTGAAAAGGTCACTGTTTCTTAGTCCCAGGTGAGGACTTGAGCAAGACTGTCATACTTTCTCACAAAAATGGAGAGAATTAACACTGTACCTGGATGTAGGAACAATTATCAGTAACTTCTCTTAATCACAGATCCACCAAAAGGTTCCTATTCCAACACCAAGAAACACTTCAGTTATGAATCAGAATACATTTTCATTTAGAATGGGTGTTATAAAAGTTTATGAAATATAATTGAATAGTATCACTAATGCTATACTTCCTGCACATAAAAATCAAATGACTTCTATAAGTCCACTTGGGATTTTAATATTGCACCAGTGGGAAAAACTGTGTTGAGTTTTGAGCATTGATTTATAAATGCCATTTGCTAGTGTCTGTATAGAGAATCAAAATATCATACTCTGAAAAGAGGCTATTATTTAATATATCTGACTATCCTATTTAAAATTGTATTCCATTTCAGCATTTCATTATCCCCCTTTTCTTTTTGATTTTTATCCACAATAGGATATGCCACAATTTCATATGATATATGTATTTGTCTCTTTACTCCCTGTTTCCTACCTTTGTCTTAGAGGGTAAATTCTTTAGAATAGATTTTTGTCTGATTTGTTCATTGCTGTGTTCCCAAGGTCTAAAATAGTGCCTGGAACATTCAAACAGGTATTCAATGCATTATTATGGAATGAATGCATGAATTTAATTGTCACACATGTAATAAATCCCATTTATCTTGTGAAGATATGGCTCACTCTGTATCTCATCACTGAGATACTAGCACCATGGGCAGGTATGTGAAGATATGGAGTATAATGTTGCTGCCAGAGACTTTGAATTAGACACTAGGTTTAAACTCCTTGCTCCTCCATTTTTTTTAAATGACTTTAAGCTTAATGTCACTAAATGTCAGCCCCCATTTTGAAGTTGATAGCATACATTATGACTACACCCTGGGTGCAAGTGAGATGATGGGTAAAAATGTCTTAGCACCATGCTGGGCACATAATAAGAGCTCAGTAGTATCATCTATCATAAAAGTTGGTTAATGATTTGACACTTACGCAGGTGGGATAGACTATTTTCCAGGCTGTGTTGTTTTGGAGGAAGACCAAACACGTAGTCTGTTGCATGATACTAACTGAAGAATCTAAGCTGGAATACAAGTGGATGGAGAGGCTTTGAGGAGGGTTTTAAGAATCAGTTGGAGAAATGTTCAAAAGTCTCCATGGTGTCTGGGGAGTCTGAAATCTCGCCCTCTCGTTAGAATTTGTATTGGGATATGCCTTTAAAAGTGAAGGGAAAATGTCCTATTCTTCAGGAATTTTGGAGTGAAATAAATGTGAACAACAAATTTATAACACCTTGTTAAGATATAATATGTTTGAATCTTTATGATGATGGTGAACACAGCAAATATATGAAATATTAACTCATCAGTTTATGAGGAAATAGCTACTCATTACAAAGGCTTTTGCACACAGCATTTCCCCTGGTGCCACTATATAACAGTTTACCAAGATGTTTTACCTCTGAATGCAGGCATTTCTACTACTCTTTAGGGAAAATGGCTTTCTGAATTTTATGCTTGCTAATCAACATTCTTCAAGTTGCCTTTATGATAAATTATCAGTGCTTTTGAAAGAATGCTTTATATTTCTCACTGCTACAAAAGAAAAAAAATAGCTTTCAGGATCATGTTGGGTCAGTTTAGCTCAGGCAAAAAGGTGACTCTATTGAATGAATAGGATTCTAATTATAAGAGCTTCACGCTGTAATTCTCTAAAAGAAGGCAGCATTATCTGACAGTGGGTTTACATTTAGGAATCAGTTTGCAAAAATTAATGCTCCTTCCAAAAATGCTGCCAAGATCTTCTTAATGACCACTGAAATTATGTGAGATAATTCATTCTGTTGCAGTCCTGAAGTTTATGTCTTGACTACCAGGGCATGATAAGGACAGGAGTTTCTTTTTCTGGTGCCTAAGTGTTTATCATTACATTTTTTAAAAAATAAAAATTGCTTTCTCTACTTGGAGTATATGCATAGGTATTTGTCTATTTTAAAGCATATTTACTATGGGGACAATAGCCTGGATGATTTAATAACCTCTCTTGATTAATTATTCTGATGAAATAGCTAGAGTTGAGGAGGAGCCAGCAACAGAAACCGCTATTCATTAGCTTAAAAGCCATGGTCAATAACGGCAGTTTCCCTCCTGTCTGAATTTTGGTCTGCATTGGATTTTGAGTGACTGACACAGACTCCTTGAGTTCAGAGAGCTCCCCCAGGAATAAACAAACATCCTGTATGATGCTGAAGTGTGAGGGCAGGACATTGATAGCGGAAGCCTTTAGTACTTTAGTTTTTGCCTATAGTACTCTCAAGGGTCTCAGTGAGGAACAAAAAGCCAGACACTTGCCTATGAACCAGAAGAGTCAAGCACCCTTGATTGTGTCGATCCCTGTTTATTAAGTGTTCAAGCCTCATGACACCATATTCCATTGAGGTAAAGTCAGCAGCAATGTGAAGTCAACAACCAGGTGCGAAACGGAATGTGCTGCTTTTGTCCCAAGGCGAATTGCTTCTAAATGTGTTTCCAGAATTTTTCAAAGATAAAGTGGAAATGAAAAACAGACTGTGTAGCTCAGATGTTCATCTGGGGATGTTGATAAAGGAGAGAGCTGGCTCAAGATTGTGAAGAAGGAGTTGTTTCCTATGAGCTGGTCTTGTTCACAATGGCTTTGAGTAAGGGATTTATTGAAGCATCTGGTTTTATTGATTTGGAGTCAGGGCTTCCGATGCAAACTTTTAGCAGATGAAGAAGTCTCTGCCCTGTGGTAATACTTCCAATCTAATCCAGTCTGGCCCTTTATCATAAGATCTTTGCCTCAATGAAGGGGAATAGGATGCTAAATGAGAAATTATCCTGGCTGTGGATGTGTCACTTGCTGCGGCAGAACAGTAACAACCTTGAGGACCATGCCAGGTAGCTTTCTGGTCAATGAAATGGCTCATTTAAATGTGGACTATTGAGAATGAGTCCCAGAAAAGACAACTGGAACATGTTCAGATATTATTAAGAAATTCATATCAAATGTAATTTACTATCACACTAGTTCATTTAAAAAAACACTATTGGAATCTAATCATTATCATTTCACCAATCACCTACCTCTCCCATTTCCCACAATGAACATCCATGCTTCTACTCTTGTCCCCTTTCCCTGGCATTAATCTCATCATTCTCAGCCCATGACTTCCTGTTCTATCTCATGGAGAAAATAGAGACCATCTAATGAGAACATTCTGCCTTCTAATCTAAAATTCATCAGCAACCATGATCATCCTTATCTCTTTTCCTTGTATCTTATTCACTCCCTTTTTAATCCATTCATTTAGAACACATTCATTTATCTACTTATTTACTGAAAAAAACATTTATTAGGTACTTCTATGTACCAGACCCTGCTGTGTGCAGCACATGCCTCAGTAAACTTGACCCAAACCTCACTGAAAAAGAAAAGAATGATGGCCCCTATCATATCACTTCTTGCCTCCTCAGAAACTATTTTCTATCGATATTGAGTCTTACTCATGTTTCTCCAAATAATTCTTTCTAATCCACTAGCTCTTTCCTATCAAGACTTAAACAGGCTCAGGTTTCTTCCAACTTAAGAAGTAAAGCAAAGTGATACAAAAACACCCTATATTTATTTCTCCAGTTGTTA